CGTGGCTTTGCGTATAATGTTGAATTTTGATTTGATCGCAAAAGTTTACGATTGGAAATTTTTGCCATTATGTATTTAGTGAGAGGAAGAAATTCTCAGAGACATTAAGTATTCATATCACACTTCCCGATGGCATGGTTAATTGCTTTCTGGTACAGCTTTACTGTTGTCATCCAGACATCATAAAGCGACGGCACAATGTTGATCATAGAGTGTTATTTACCTCACTCTGGATGAATATGATTCATTGATTATCGTCCGCGTGCGAGAAGGAGAGTGAAGTTTATACATACTTTTATGTCCTCCCAGAATGTCCAGAATTGTCGGAATCAGGATGTGTGTGTGTCTTCTAATCCGAATGTGTGACAGTAACATGTGTTCCTGTCGTCAAATGCATGCGTCTCAAATATTCCAGGCATCTTCTTCAACCCCTGAAGAGAGTGTTATTGAAACTATCCGTTGTACTTGATAGCTGCTTCTGAAATCAGCCAAATGGCTACAATTTAATATGTTTCAGAGGATTGTCGATTTCGATATGTGTAGTTGGGTGTCGTAAAATTTACAAATTGACCATATGAGGTTGGTACACTGATGAAAACGGGTGGTACAATTGATGTTACACGAATATGTATTTATTGCGTAGAAAGATTTTATACTTCTATTGTGTGTATCTTGTGTGAAAAGTCTGAATTTTTGTGCAAGTATTTTCTGTCTTCCTTTTCGAACAGTGTTAATTTGTATAGGTAGTCAACCTATAATTTTATCGCTTCATGAAGGCGCATTTGAGCAGTGAGCGACTGCCTATCACATGGTCAGACGATGTAAATATGAAGTTGTAAATTCTCATATACGTTTATTAATTCCAGACACTGCATATGAGGAATATTCAAGATGGGCTATTTCCGAGAATTCCATCGACACTCAAAATCATCCATGGACACTTCTATTGGTTCAATTTTGCCATCCAACATGCGAGTAAATATTTTTATTATCGCCCAGAATACAACTTTTACAGCACTTTTGATTGCAGTAGTGTCACATACAATGCGACAATCAATATTTTAGCACTCTCTGCACACGAAAAACTATAAACTCCAAGCAATATCTTAATCCAAGTCATTTTATATTGGAGCATGAACCCTTCGCAACAATTTTCTTTCAATGGAACTTTATGCTTTATCCGGTTTCTTTTTTTCGTTTTGTGCAAAGAGAAAATTGAGTTTCTGTTTCTCAGTGCAAAAAATAAAAACAATAATCACTAAAGTGCAGAGAACTTTAATGGTTATCTAAATAAATTACGGAGCTGCTTTTTGTTCTTGGTGCCAATTAAAATGATTCTAAAGGAGCAATTAAAAGGGTATAAAACTGTATAATAATTCTGGATCTCGACTCACCTCGAATGTTATAAATTTTTGTTCCACTGGCGCTTCTGGTGGATGCCTTTGGACACAGAAGGGATGTCATATTTTTATTATCGTTAAATTTGCAGAGAAGTTCCACCCGACACATGGCTTATCAGAGAAAATGGGGGTGTTTTCATTTTCGGGGACATTTATGTAAAAATAAATGTATAAAATTAACCAAATGTGGAGCAACATCTTCCAGGAGATACACTTTTGAGGTCGTAAAAGTGAATTTTAATTTTCGTTTTGGTCATAAAAGAAAAGGGGTTGCTGGAGTGAGTTTTCTCCCTCATCACGCTCTGAGCGACTTAAATATTTCAAATGACTTGGTTGGCTTTATATCAAGGAAAAATGTAGGAAAAAGTCGTAAATACAACTCTTCATTTCATAAATAATTCTATCTCAAGTCTCCAGAGAGTCTTATCAGGGTTTACCGAAGGAGATGATGAAAAAATGCTCAATATAAAACTCAATTTCGAGAGAATAAAGAGAATATTTAAGAAAGTGGCGGGAAAACAAATCAAAATTCACCCTCTCATTCTTTTTCCCTTTTTCCCATTTGCCTGATGTCAAAATAGGGCATTGAATGAGAAGTGAATTTTTTTTTCAATTTTCCTTCCAAAAAAGAAGCCAAATTCAAATGCACTTCTGCGTATACTTTTTCGCAATTTTGTGGTACAGTGAGTAAGAGTGCGGTTGTTTATGCAATACCGCGAGACACGCATATAAATTATTTTAATCGAAAAATCATACCGCATGTCAACATATGTGAACAGCAAATTTGATGTATGTGCCACACGGCTGAAAGGGTGGTTGACTCGCAAAATCCCCTCGGTGGCCTAACAACATACCCTCCGCCCACCGCCTACAGCCCAGGACAGAGCCCCAAACCACGAAGGTAGCAGCAAATAAAATATACGTCCCACTTGAATGGGTTATGAGCGCGATTACTCAAGTTTGCAAAAAAAGGGGGAATTGAACCCCTCTTCTGGCATATGCAGATTCACAAGGACTGCGCGATTTTCCTGTCTCTGCGGTGGGCTTGTCGAAGAAGATGAATGTAAAACCGACGAATATGTCACATTGAATTTTATCCGCGGAATTCAATTGAATCCTGCTTGAATCTGCGGCAGTGCGCTTTCCGCACAGGAAGCACGCTGAGCGACTCTCGAAGAGGATGGCACAGAGGGTAGAATCAATCAAACATTAAACTTCCGCATATGACATGCTCCCATTGAGATTGTGATGATAAAACGATTAGGATGAGATGAACTTTGGTGTAATCATTCTCCATGACAAACATTTATGGATGATTGCCTGCAACATACTCAATTCCTACCGCAAAATGTGTCTACACACTTGGAATTTAAGGTTCAGCATAGAATCATTCAATGGTACACACGTTAAGAATCATTTAGTTTTTTTTTTTCATTTCATCAGTTATTAAAATGATGCCTATAATATATGCGCTAGAATATGAGAATCAGAATTTATTGGCCTTCATGTTCTAACAAGAGCTCTTGACGTAACATTTTAGCGCTTACTAACTCTTGTACATTTTTAATGTTAACACCCTCCCTTGATGTTGCGAACATAAAATACGAGCAAATCCTTCGATCAATGAATTTGCGGTGGTGAGTGACAAAGGGTACTAAAAGTGGGTGTGCTGATGATGGAAGAGGCATTTATTGCAAGTGAGTCTCCATATCACAGTGAATTGCATATAATATTTGTGTATGCGAATAATGATGTATTTTATTGGGGCGATCCACACAAAATGAACACAAGTTGTCCTGGGGGGTGTTGAGAAATGCTAAGGGCTGTTTGCTGAAATGCTCTTGCAGCCAAATTGGACGCTCAAATGTATTTACTACTATTGCATTATTATCATGTGTCTTTAACGTTTATTTATGCAATATAAGCGCCAAGGCACTGGGAAGTGAGTGATGACTTTGAGGAGAGCACCTTGAGGGATACATTAAATAGTATAGCCTGTAACGAAACACTCCCATTTGAAGCATCTTTATGACACACTCTAATTCATGCACAATAATGTCAACTTAAGTGACTTTGTCCATTTCGATTAAGCACAGAGCTTATGTGAATTATTGCACGTAGTACAACTTGTCTTTGCAGCATTTACAACTTCAATCTCGTTCAAGTTTGTGCACAATTTTATTTAAAACACAGACTTCCGGCTAGAGTTTGAGACTCGTCTATCAGGAAATTTGGCATGTGGTTTGGAGAAGAGGTGTCTCTTTGTTGTCAAGTTGTCAACAACAGGAATTATGCATTCATTAGTTTCACATAGAGGCTTCAAACTAATGATTTTGGTGTTTCCCTATTACATAAAATACATTTAAATGTACATTAACTATTTCTGATTTGAGCGCCCTTTCGGTCCAACGAAGTATCGAGTGGCATTAATTATTCAAACGGATAACTTGTATTAATTACATGCATGCTCAATCGTAAAATTGCTCAACTTACCATTATTGCAAACATTGAACAGATAATTTGACGATTTGCCTTTCCATTAGAACTCATTGTAAGCCAATTTGCGACTGGATGGGTCAAATTTGTTCTCAATTCTTTCGACATTGAAATGATTGATGCCACATGCTCAATACCTGAAGCAATGTTCATCGATTTGACTTTGTGTGAAAGTGTATAATTCTACTTAGCATTGAACAGTATGGAGGATTTTTTTTCGGGAACCTGTTAATTAATGATGTAGCACAATCTTAAGTGTTTACTAGCCATTCGAAGACACCAAGCATTCACAAGTTGTTTATTTTCCACCGATTTCGTAACGTGAAAGGGTGAATAACATGCTGGTGATGGATTTAAATGGAGAAGTGGATCTTCGTCGTGTACACGGTGAGTGGTTCTTGTGAATTTTCAATGAACGCCCCTAAATGCAATAGTCAAAAATAGACAGATAATTGGCGAAATGACTTATGATCAATTGTCTTTTCCCCAACGATGCCTGAATAAATGGTGTGTTTGTGTGGCTATTTGGCAACGACACTCTTTGCAAACCAATTGTGGTCATGTGTCTGAGAATTCTCAAGAATTTTTTAAGGTGATGTGAAAGTAAAGTAGTTTTTCAATATGTGAATACATTAAAGCATTATGCATTGTTATTAATCTCTCGCTGGTTTGTGTCAGTTTTTGTTACTTGAGATTTTATGTTCCAAGTGCATAATGTATAGCATGTAATTGTCTTTTAAAACATCAACAATGTTTAAATTGCCTCACACACATTTTAAGTTATGACGCAAAAATTTGTGGCTCCCTTTTCATGGTCATATAACAATGTTTTGTTTTTCAAATTATCAAGTCTAGAAAGGAATGTGAGAGACCCGAAAAACATTACTTATGCAACGACCCAAAAAAAACATCAGAAACATCTCAATTACTTGTTGAACCGATACCATATTTAATTTCTACACTTCTATCATTGGCAATGCAGAGCAAGGTGAGATAAACGCGCATTCTTGTTCACAGAGTGGGGCCGATATGGAAATTTTGCTGTATATATAAAAATAGATGGAGAATGGCTATTGTATTGATGACGCCGCAGACGAAAACAACGCTGGATGGAGTTTTGTTACGTGCACAGAGAGCGGAACGCCAAAAAGCTTCCACAGGTGAGTCGCTGTGGAGTCTTTCGTGCACCTTCAGTCGATCGTAGGCACTCCGATTGATCGTGTGTCTTGAGGTTTCTCTCGGTGATCACGAAAATTGCTCGCAATTGTGCAACAATCTTCAAATTACCGCCCACGAGAAAGTGCGAACATTGTTGAGTGAGGGTGGATAGACATCTGCCAAAATGCTCTTTTCACTTTCTGCTCGTCTGAAATTGCGCCCAAAACAGTGAAGCTCAATCTCTTTTATTTTTTGAACAAAAGACTGAAGATACTTGACCTATACAGAGCTCTGTGTTGAGAAAACTTCTCAAGGACTGTGACTTATTCTTTGCTTGTGTACATGCATATATCGCCTCTTTTCAACACAGTGAAGGTGCTTGTAGTTTTCTTCCAAGCGGCATAACATTCAGTGGCTCAGGTGATAGATTGCGTTCTGGAATCTATCGAAGGGTAACACTTTTACTAGAATCTCAATGCATTTTCTGTGCACTGTGGAGATATTTTAGTGTGATAGTTGATTGAGGCGACTTGATTGCGTAAATCCAGCGATGGAGGCGGCTTGGCGTTTTCGGATTATGCTGCTTATGGCATTCGCAGTGATCTTGTTTGGGGACTTTTTGGGATATGGCAGTGTCAAGAGTGATCGCGCTCCGCCAAGGAGTACATCAAACCTGAGAGACGAGGATCCAGATTTACACATTGTCGATGGTAAGAAATGCAATTTTAAAATATCACATCAAATGTGATTATATCGAAATAATGTCAAAGCTATTAAAATGTAATAGTTGATGTTGAAATTCTGAAACAGTGGTCATTATGTGTCGAACAGTAGTCAAAATGTCATAAAATATATGTGTATTTGTTGTAAATACAATTTTCGAGAGTGTAATTTACCGTTTCCGGCAATTTTTCCTGCTTACTTCCAATCTCAGATGAGAGCAATAAAGAGCAATTTTTCACAACTTCTCTATCAATTAAAGAGTTTCTCAGATTTCAGTCCACGAGAACTTCTAGTGAAACTGTTCACAGAAATAATTGCTTTATTCTTAAATCTTTAATTGCTTTCTTAATTCATTCGTAATGACTAGTCTGAAACTCATTTAATTGATATCGGCTGAGAATGAGATAAAATTTCAATGTCAAGCTACATACATATTTTAGTTTTGATTCCGTATTCTTCTGATACTCAACTTGTTTAGCGACTTTGGTTAAGTGGAAGTGAATATTAAATATTGTAAATATGCTGAAATCGATTGGTGTCTGATTATAGATTGTATGTATGTATTTACAGTTTGTTCATAGGTGCGTTATTTTTTTTGTTTGAGAAAAATTTCTTGGAGTAAAAGCCAAGGTTAGCAGAGTTTATTAGAGCTGGGAACCCCAACTCTGCTTTACCTCTGCGATTTTACCTGTGGTTTCTTTTCTATTTTTATACCTCATGCACGGTACGATTTTCCCAAGTTAATTGCACTTTTCGTCTCACGTTTTGCATTGATATTGCGAAGTGCAGAGCAGAAGATTGATTCGCGCAGAGTGACCTCCGTGAATGTCAGTTACCTCGCTTATGGCGCGAATCCGAGAGACTGGTTTCCACGATTAGGCACTTCCTACAGATCTCGAGTGGTTTCTCATGACACTGCATTTGCTCGTCTTCCGCAGGCACGGCGCTCAACATCCTCGACAGTTCGACAGAGCAGAGCCACACGGCGACCACGTATCAGATCTCGAAGAGGAAGCTCACGCAGACCCTGAGGGAGTCCTGTCTGCCCAAGATGCTCTGCGAGATGGCGGCCAGGCCGAGTTACAACCTGAGCGATAGGGAGCGTGATCTCCTCACGCTGATCAAGTAAGCATGCCCTCGGTATCCACTGACGCCAGAGAAATGCCATGGAAGTGTTATTTATGACACTGTGTCTTGTCCAAAGTAACATAATCACTTTCACTGCGAGCCTCCACGTCGATCACATAATACGCGGAGTGTTTTGTGTAATAAAGGTGAGAGATTACGTCTCTATGTACCCTCGGAAATGTACATTATATGAATTGTTTCCATCCATGGTGACTTTCTTTGGCCAGTGCCGCATTTGCTATATCATGAAGTTTAACGAGGTATTTTTTCCTATCTTATCTGGCACAAGATCTGAATTTCAACTTTTTAGTAATCAATACTTGGTATAAATTTTTGGCCACGCCTCTTTGAAAAGAAAATTCACTTGTCAGTGAGCATGGAAATTCCGGAAGTAATTTTGCTATTCTCCTCTTTTACGAAGATCTTCGTGTAAAGTAGGAAAACTCAGAAAATCATACCCAAACCAAGACCTTTACCTTCCGCAACCTGCCCTGTATCGAGTATAGTGTAAAAAAAATAAATGGCATTCGTGCATTAACTTCTGCTTCTCTTTGCAGATCCACAACTCTCACTCTAGCCATGGCCGTATCGCCAACTCGATGGCACTTTGCCGCTCATATGGGCCAACTCTTGCGATCTGGCGACTCCCTGTCCGGCACAATCGGATGCTCACAGCTTTGGCCACAATGTCCCTTCAGCTCCCAGAAGTTGTTGCAACTGAGCTCGAAGGTGTCACTCAAATAGATGCCAATGCGTTTTGCATAACTCATGTGATGTTGCATGAATAATGGATGATCTAGTCTTGTGAAGAAACTTTCATTCATGCAAATTTGTTGATACTTCTGACTATCAATTGTTTTGTTAATTCTTTTAGATCTGCAGGTCAAAATAGGATGTAAAATTTTTTGTAATGGAAATACTTTTGTTGTACAATAAAGTGATTTTTAATAAAATGACGAAAAAAAATTCGCAGTTGTTTTTCTCGTTGTGGAAGAAATTGACCTAAAATCTTTCCATCGTCTGCAAGGGTGTAATAAAAAGTTGTGGTCTTTTTGCCAATTTCATCGTAATTGCAAAATTGCAATTATTGATTGCAATCCAGCACAAATATCAATCTGAATAAGTGAATGAAATTATGAATTGCAAAAGAAGCCATAAAGGTGCGAAAGTTGCGTATTTACATTGATTGAGTGCTGGGAAAGACTCTTCCATCAATGAAGTGTGTTTTATTTAGATGGCCAAGACCAATCTTGATCAAAGAGAGTGAAGAATAGAAGTAAAACTATTATTTTTTCAATCGTCTATTCAAATTTGTGATTTTATAAAGAGCTGGATTTGATATGATTTATTTTCATTAAAACATTTTTAAAGTTTTCTGTGTACACCCTTGAAGAGAATTTCCGAGGTAATTTCACTCATTAAAATTTACGTTATCTTTGATTTAATTTCGGCAAGGCGGACTCGTTTTGCCCTTTACCTTCATCCCATATAGCTTAATTTTCAAGGTAATTCAAAGAATAAATCTTTTTTAAAAGAGTTTATTTGTCGAAATGGTTAAAAAGAAAATTGGTTTCATTGATCTCACGATCGTATAACAATTTTTATAACTTCACTTTGCGAAACTGCGTACTTGCAGGCGTTACTATGGTTTTCAAATTCAACCGTTGATTGTCTCTAAAGTAAGAGTTTTTTTGTGGAGATTTTCTTTCTCCAGAAAATATGTCATTGAATATTTTTTTTGAAACCAAAAAGCTCCCATTGAAAGTGAGCCATGTGTTTTATTACTCTTATTATATTTATCATATCTCATGGTGGTACTTTCGCGGTGAAAAAGAGTGGCAATAAGGTGAGTGAAAATGGGCAGAAATTGTGGTTTTAATGTCAGTGGCATATCACAATCTAACGCAAAACACCCATTGTCATAAATTCAGATGCAATTATAATGTAGAAAAAAATTTGAAATCAGCGAATGGCGCTGATTTCACACTCTTCTTCCGATTTTCTCAAATGAGTCTCAGTTTTTTGTGTTCCTCGTGGCTTTACGGAATTGCATAAGAGAAAGAGACTTCAATTACTTCATCTGTGCAGTTGGAATTGTGTGTGCAGCGGACTAGATGATGGCTGTCTGGGGATTCACTTGGGCGCGATGGGGGCGGGAGAGGGGGAGATATTGCCCATTGCATGTGTCTCAAAGTGTTTGCAGCGCTAATATTTGCAACACATTATGTTGCATGCATGGCTGGTGTTCCACTCTTTCCACTCACGTGGGATTCTACCTTGTCGTCACCCAGCACACGGGTTTATAACATGAAAACGAAAAGTTCATTTGACTCTTGTTGTAAATCAAAACATATTTTCCACTACTATGATTTCAACCTTCTCAAGATCGCATGCATTTTGTTCCTTTTAGCCTTTTGCGAAAAACATGCAACATTAGTGCTTCCTGGATAACAAAAAAATACCTTTTTTTACCTAAGCATTAACCTGACACACCGGCGGAATTGACTATTAAACCGTGAAAATACTCGGAGCTTAATCGATACATAAACAACTCACGTTTGCACTAATGTGGCGATCAATTTGAGGAAATATCGCCTCTTCAGCTGCATCAGGAAGTTTTCACTTTCCTCCAGCATGCAGATCTCTCGGCTGCAAGCAACGGAAACCATTTGATCTACTTTCAATCATTTTCTTTTGACCCAACGTGGAATACATAATCGACATTCCTCTCAGCTCACATACGAGAGATGCAGAGTATAACCCTGTATCATGAATTCCAACGGCAAACAACACATAACTATGTATCTTCGGGTGACGACGTAACAGTTACCAAAAGGCCTCGTCCAATGCACGTCGCGGTAACTTTCACTTGCTGAATGCTCCAAAACTTTACCACATAGAAAATACTAGGATGGAGGGTAAAAGACTCGGCATAGCGTTTGAATTATCAACTGCACGGTTGCTTTATATGTAAGTTTGAGCAAATTGTAGCATAATAATTCCTCTTTTCTATATCTGGCATAAATTTCAATACAAATTTTGACAAAGCGGCTAAGTTTTCCTTTCATTGGTTCTGTGCAAGACTACTATGATTTACTAATATTCAAGCTTCTCTCCAAACTATTGGTCGATTTTTCGTAGGAGCAATGAATTATAGATAACCGTCCCTCGTGAAAGCGCCGAGTTTGCCAAACGAAAGAAGTGCTGCGGCTCAAAGTGAGGTGCTGTTTCAGACCAATCTCAGTCACTCAGTGAGCTGCCAATGATCCACAAGACGTGTGCGTTTCCGAGCCTGAAAGCTCAGTACCTGTCCATCAACTGACGCGATTGTAATCCACAGTGTTGCTAATTAGGAGCATTTTTCTGCCGGAGAAACACCAAAAGAAAGTGTTTTGTGAAGAATACGATATCCAAAGAGTGCAATCTACGTGACAAATATCACAGTCATTTCTGCGAGTGCTTTCATTTATTTTCCCCAACAATTGTTGAGCTAAATACTTGTGATTGAGTGGCTCTTTGTGAGAGTGTTGTGAAAGAATAATCATTAAAAATGAATTTCAACAAAGTTTTATCATCCTGTGTGGTGCTACTCATCGTGATATTGGCTATGGATTTACCCGATACCGCCGTGGCGCAAGCTGAGCAACCCCTTTTCGAGCTTCCAGTGCAATTAGTTGGTTTTCCCGTCATCATTATGGCTGTGCGACTCACAAATTTCGTGAAGAAGTTAGCATATTCTCTCAATCCGCGTAAGTGAAATGCTTGAAATTTTTCCCGAAATTATTTAACTTGACCTTGTACAATTGTTTCTCAATGCATTGCAAAATTGTGACACAAGATGAGCCTTCGCACGAAGAAGGCTCTTCAACGGGTTTGAGCCATTTGGGTTCACTTCTTCGAATAGCATGAAGGCAATAAAAAGTCGTTACATAAAGAAATAACAGTTAATTGGAGACATAAAGCCACCACCTTTCTTTTCTTACAAATCCTAATTTCTAGCACAATTAGCACGGAAAACATATTAACATCGTCTGCGGTACTTTTACACTTTTCCATTTTTTCTCGTTTTTTTGTCTTTTTGATACAGTAGTTATGCTCGGCATAAAATTGCTGCGAGAGAGAAAGCACTTCAAAAAATGTTTAATGTGATTAATTATGCTGGAAAAATATGATTTGGTATGTGTAAAGTCAATGCGAGAGAGACTAAAATGCTAATGAGCATTGCTTTAACAATGTTAGCTCCATGAAACTGGGAAGGCAAATTTGACACTAATCAAAGCATTAATAGCATGATTGAATGAGGCGCTAAGCCATGAAACTCTCATTTCCCAAACACTCTTGCAGAAACATATCAGTCGCGCACTCGACGCTCCGTTGAGCACGCGACTTCGGGGTCTTATGCAACGGCGGCCATCGACGCCGTCCTGGCGGAGAAGAGGATACTTTCGGAGTTCGGGCCGAAGGCGTGCGTTCTCGAGGAGCCGTGCAGGATTCACGCATGGAAGGCTGTGCCAGGAGAGCAGCCCGACTGGGACGATATCTTGAGGTAATCCTAAATATAATTTGAAAGACGACTCAATAAAATATTCATAGTTTCCGTGTTACATAAGTCGATGTCATTATGTTGCCGACAAATGAGTGTTTTATGCAAATCGGGTATAAATAGTGGATCTTCTGTTGAATAATATTCGGAAGTGGGTCGATCATTCGGAAATTTGTGTCGATTAAATGACCAATAAATGTTTTAATGTTTAAAAACTAATCATTTATATTTCTATATATTTTTTATGGTCTGGAACTTTAGTTTGAATTTCTTTCACTGTGTTGTTTCTAAAAACTTTAAGAAATCTGCATTTTAAAGATAGTTTAAAGAAAGTTCTTGTCAATCTAGATATATTTATATATTTATAACTTAATTTTTTTTTTCTCTTCTTCCAGCAACTACAAAGTCCACAATGTTGGAATGCGCCAATGGTACCTGCTCTCGGTCTTCCTGGGCGATGTCATCAGGAGTCCGAACCTTTGCAAGCAACTTGCCAAAAGACTTGATTGTCATCGAGAAAGCCGAGAATTTGCGTGAAACTAGTCAGTGTTGAGAATCAATTGGAACTTTAGCTGTAATGTTTTTCGCCCAAAAAAACATCGTTTTTAAATGTATGAGTGTTGCAAGAGATCTTTTTTCCTCTGACCTTTCTGGGTAACCGTTGTCATTACATATTTCGAAATCTCAACAATCGAGACTTGAGCAAGCAAGTCAATTGAGCTTTGGATTAAAAGCTCTGGGAGTTGAGGTAAAAACTCACCTGTTTTGCGCCTGAAAGTCTTCACAAAGCACTCTCACTTTCCGCTAGATGTTGCTCATGGCATGATGAAAGTGAATCTCGCGACGAACCTGAAGCAGGTCACCGGTGAATTTCCTCCAGCGATTTTCTTCAGGTGCACAATTGTTGCTCTTTCGCAATCGTTGTTGGCTTTTCTGGTTTTGTAGAGAAGAATCATGTGAAAAAAGTGCAATTCGGATTTTATGCAGCGCATAGAAATGTAAGATCACATGTTTGGGTTATTCCAGTTGATTGATTAGCACATTCTTCGTCTGATTGCTTATTTTAATCACACTCGTGAAGAAGTATTACACAATTGTTCGGTGATATTGGTCATCGGCGAGAAAAAGTGAAATTTCGGTACTGAAGTGTGACGTCATGTGGGTTAAAATCCTGGTAAGAGACAAAATTAATGGCTTGTTTTGCGTATGACCAAAAGTCATACTGAGAGAGAAGAAAGTGTTTTCGTGGGCGCGAGTGAGCAAATAATGACAAACACGGCGTCCATCGACTTTCATCAATTCTTCATCAATGCTGCGCTGCTGTTGAAACTGGGTCCAGCTGAATTGCAAATTGTCCGGCCTGACCTATGCAGGAGTTGCATTAATGATAACATTTGGAAGTAGGTTGATGGTTGTGCGAGATAAAGTTATATCATTTGGTCGCTTGTAAACAAAACGAGATGTGCATAAATCCAGTGTAATCGAGGAGGTGAAAAATATCTCACGCGCGAGTCAAACACCTTGAGACTTTCACAAAAACATACATGGGCAAAAGTGTATCGGCGGAATGGGCTAAATTATGCATGTATACGATGGTTTGCGGAGTATACAGTTTCACGATCTGGAAGAAAGTACATCTAAAAGAGCCTCACGTCATCCCCACTTAATTCATTTCTTCTCCGTCAGTCTTTTTGCCCACAAAATCGCAAGCCCAGTTTCAATAGTCGAAACACACGCCAAGAGAATAGATGCATCTCGTCGTGGACTGACTGTAAGTGATCTCTCTCGTTGTGCATGCTGAAAATTCCGTGAGAGTGTGAAGAAAAGTGCGAAAGCGAGGAATTGACCAGTGAAAACACACAACGGTTCAGTGAAATGAATTGAAGTGCTTTAGGGGAAAATGTTCCGGTTCCTCCTCGTTGTGATTTCCTCGATTTCACTCTCCGGAGCGATTCAGAGTCCAGAGAATATCAGTTCAAGGTGAGATATATTCGCTGGTAGACCGTTAATTTACCTGACTGTGTAGGAGATGCATTTTCCGTGAAGAACAGAGCATTGCCCCGGCATGGGATTTGCATAAATTAATTCACATCATTTATCACGTAGTCATGAGGAATGCACGTTCATGAAAGTTTCAATTGCGGGTAAAATTTCAATGAATCATATAAATAGATCATTGGATAGTTTTCAATTTTCTTCAATAAGTTTCAACATTGGTTTCAGCTTTCAAAACACATTGTATAAAAAGAGAGAATACTAAAGTAACATTATTCTGATAAGCATTTATTTTTTGAGGCTTCACTTAGTGTATGAAAATTTAAAAATATCTTCCAACGCAATGAAAGTTGACTTTTTCCTAAATACAATATTTTAGATTTTCAATTTACATAATTATATTTATTGCGGAAATATTTGTTATTAGTTTTTGGGAAAGCAATAGCTAAATTTTTGACGAAATTTTCAATTTTCACAATTTACTCAACATCATCAGACGCAGTCAAAATACGGTCAACTTTTTCCCCGATGACACCAGAGAGAATTACAACACTGCACACGGTGTTAATGCCAACGATGTCTCGCCATTCCGCTTCCAAGATGATCAGGGGGATTTGAATCAAAATGAGATTCTGGTGTCACCAGCTCAGAAATTTCAGCAATCGCCATACCAGAGACCGCAATCCCCGTATTACTCGTCTCAGTATGCTAATCCCGCCGTCACCCATAATCTCCGGCCAAACCCCTACGCCGGCTCATATGGGTACTACAACCCCGACCAGGAGGACAGGGAGGAGGGTCGTCCTCAGACACACTATCCCTATCAGCAGAGGCCTCAATTGGGGCCCAACTATGCGGCTCAGTTCGCCAGCTACTATCGTCCCGGCGGCGTCAGGGCCAACTTTCCCGGCAACTTTCAACAGGTGGGCGGAAGTCCACCGTATGACAACAGACGACCACTGGCAGATGTGGGTGTGCAGTTTGGGCAAGCCATCGAGAACATTGCGCGCTACGACGATTTGCAGTGTGTGCCGAAAATACTTTGCCAAATGGTGGGAAATCCCAACAGACAATCCAGCCTCCCGTCTTTTCTCAGTGCACCATCGCTAACAGCGTGAGTTACTCAATCACATCGCGAATTCCCACGAAACTCATTGAATTCCTCTGCAGTTTAATTTCAGCACTTCCTTCTACATCCCCGGCACTGATTTTTGGGCGTGCAGCACTCCTCGGTTTCAGCGGCGGTGAAAGTCGATGCGATTCCGCGTACCCGAGGTGTCCCAGAAATGAGGTAATCATGCCCGAATTACTCACCTACAGGCCATAGATAGCAATTCGAAATGCATATACGAAAGTGAGATCACACGCGCAAATGATTGCAGAAATTTATTCAATAGCAAATCAGACACTCTTTCATCGCCAAATGGCAATCGATGGCCATGGGTTGGGCAGTCAAACTATGTGAGACTGCGAGCGCGATATGAATGGCACTTACCAAAATTTTTATAGTTCAGGTTTAACGGAGAATTAATGAGTCCGATTGCTATCAAACTTGTCAGCTCAGAGAATTTCGTAACCAATTAATTTACATAAGTAAAAAGTGTTTTGTAATTGCAGGATGAAGTTCTCAATTACCTCAATAATCATCGAGGAGGTTTCTTCAGGTTTTTCAACGGAGGAGCGAGTTTTGGCGAGGACCTGCCAAATTACCAGCAAAACTATAGACCAACCTATCAACAACAAGGAAATTATCAAACCCCGTCATATCAGCAAACCCAGCAGCCAAGTTTTGATTTGAACTCTTTACAAACACTACTTCAAGGAGGCAGTCAGAGTCAAGGCATTAACTTGAGCAATCTAGGACTCAATCAAGGTTCCAACACCATCAATCTAGGCAGTTTAGCCTCACTCATCGGAGCAGGCGGTGGAGGTCAGAGTTCTGGAGCTAGTACTTTAAGCTCTTTGAGTTCTCTGGCATCCTTGATCGGAGGATCTGACAGTCAGAGTCAATCAAGTGGTTTGAGCCAACTCGCAGGAAATCTTTTAACTGGATTAGTTGGGGCTCGATTTGCTGGAAGATCAAACACTAGGAGAAGAATCAGTAAACGACACATTGATGACAAGCTTGGTGAAGGCTTCAACAATAGTGGGGAGCTGAATAATTTACTGAAAAGCTTTTCAGAACAATCAAAGCCAGATGCTAGAATCACAAGCAAGAAAAGGAATTTGAATGATGAATTAGGAGACTTGAGCAATGTTAAAGTTGATCAGAAGAAGAAGAAATATCATGGAGAGGACGTGAAGAAGGATTATGTGAAAACATTGCAGAAGCTATTGAATACAGAATCTCGGATTGTCAAGTTGGATACGAGCAAGGAGATAAAGGCTCAGGATAGAATTTTCACCAGCGGCGAGAGTCTTGAAGCGGAGGATAGGATTATGAATATTGCTCAAATGCCAAGTATTCATCAACTTACTACTTTTAATCCCATTGCTTTTCCGCAAGAGTACCTGTACGTGTCATCAGATGAATCTAATAGGGTTCCAAAGTTGGTCAGCTTTGGTCCTCCATCAAGTCTGGAGTTTCCGAATCAGTTTCAATTTGAGACAAGTGAGCTGAATTTACCACAGAAATTCTTCCCGGAACCATTCCAAAATTCAGACGGAATCATTCTGGACATACCTAAACCTCTACCCTTAGAATACTACGATCGAACGAAGATGATTTTTCCGGATAGGACAGGAACGGGAAATTTGCGTTTTGATAACGAATTCTTTGGATCTGAGAATATTCATGGCAATCGTTTTGGACGCATTTTAACTGGTCTGAAGAGACCTCAAATCGGCACTCATACAGGATTTGCCGGAAATGGCGCTAGCACAATTACGTACAGCAATGGGGACATCCTTGTCTTTCATCAAAATCGTTTGCAGGGCTTGCAGCAACAATATCCAATTAATTTCCACGGTCAGAATTTAGCCTCTACCAGTCAAAGCTACCAATATCCTCAGGTTAGCAGTACTTATCCTACTAGGAGTGACAGTGGAAATATTTACGTCACAAATTCTCTGGGAGTCAATGAGTACTACATTAATGCACAGGGCCAGAAGATTCGACTGTGAGAAAGCGTGGAAAGAGAGCTTCTTATTTAATAATTTATCATTCCCAAGAGTGTGGAAAACTCATGTCATCTGCTGTCAACCCTGAAAGCTAACTAATCCACCACAATGATTCAGATTTCACAGCAAACTGTAATTTTAGGGAAATAAAAACTTTTTATACGAAAGAGCAGAGAGTCAAGAGGTCAGTTTGCGTAATTCTCGTGATCTATTTTCGTATTGCTTTACTCTGTCAATGTTGGGTATCTCAGATGAGTCATTGCGCTTTTTCTGGGAACTCCATTGACTTTCACTATCTATAAATTGGTGTCTTTTAATTTTCAATTCGCTAATAAGTTGTGCAAATTTCACTTTGTTTCACAATCTCCTGCAGGGGGAGTGTTAATTACAACTACGAATGAAATTAGGAAGTGCGAAAAATGCACTCTTCTACTCCCGCTTGAGGGATGAATTACAATAATTGTCGAACAGACATCAAACGTTGAATGCTCTTTGGCAACTTTTCCCCATTTTCACACATACACACAAGGCGATTTTGTATGGAAAATCCACCCTTTATCTTGGTGCGTTGAACGGTGTTTTGATGCTTTCACGCTGCATTATTGGATATTAACCCAAACTCCCTCGCTGGCAACAAAGTGGAAGCATTTCCATTTGATGTGACGCCGCAATAGAGGCACGGATAAATGAGGGAGCCCCCAAACGGTGTGCTATATGAGGTGTTCATTTTGGCGCGCATTATGCACACGCCAATATCGCCAAGTGGCGAGAGAACATGTTTCAATGACTTGTTCATTTTGTGGTGAGTGTGTGAGTGTTAATTAAAATTTCCACAATGCAAAATTTGATCCGAAGTAAATTAATTTCTCGTGCGTCGATTTTTTACTGCATGCACACATGAAACGCCTTTCACCTCCTGTAAAAATCATCCGACGCGATCTGGACGGATTTTTCACCCTCAATCTGCAAGATGAGAGATGAGATTAACTTATTGTGTGGCAATGGCAATTATTATCTGGGGGCTCCATTGTGATGTTGTATGATTTTCTGTGATGGCCAACAACCGGACACGTGGCTTCTTAAACGGAAATAATCGTTCAGTGTCAAACGTAGATGTCACACGAATTTTCCACCCTCTTCGTGTTTCGTTACTTCTTTTGAAATCCTGTCTTTTCAATCCCTCCCGCCATACACATGAAAATGAAGCAATTTGATGAGTTGTACTTTTCTCCGTGTGCTCACACGAAACACCAAATTGATTTTAAGGATATCCAAACTATTCACCACGGAATGTCGATAGAAAGAACCCGATAAGACAGCATTTTCCATTTCCCGTAAGGACACAATCAATCAGAGATAAGAATTACATTAAATTGCTAACAAACAGTCGACATGGAGCAATATTCTCACGCTAAGTTCATATTCCAGTGATGTTTGATTGGTGTGTCAAATTAATGTTTGATAGATGGATCAAATTACGACATGAGTTTGAAAAACCACCCGTGACAATTGCGTCATATTTTGAGCCGGGCCGAGATTAGGGGTTGAGAGTTCATGTGGCAATTGATAGAGCTGCTGAACATCGACCGCAACATCAGTGCTAATGAATTCATGCTTCGCGGGGTTGAACATCACGCAGAAAGCCGATTGTCAATCAAAGGCATGCGAACACCAGCCATTTGATACCCAAAGTAATGACGAAACCATGTACTTCTAATGTGGGAAAGGATTTTTACAAAAGAGGATTTGATCAATGTGAGGACATATTTGAATTTAAACATTTATTTCTCTATCAAAAAATTCAGCAAAATTGCCAAAATATTGTAACATATAATACAAAATATAATTATAATATCCAACGTATGGTATTTATGTGTTTCTAGACAGTCAATATCGAATCATATTCAGATTTGTTTTAGTTTGCAATTGCTCTTTATTATACGAAGGTTTAAAAAATGTATGTTTTGAATAAAAACAAACTCTTTTTCCTTATATTTACTTTAGAAATCCCAATAGAAAATCGTTAATTGCTCTTGGTTTGAACTCAAAACAGATTAGAATAAAAGGAATATCTTTGGTCTCTGTCACATTATTTTGTTGGAACTCTTTGTATTTTGAGGGGAAATATTGTGAAAATAATAACACTTCATTGGTATTATGTCACGCACCAATAAATAATTGCGTTAAGACTAACCCCTGAAAGCCCTGAAAGTGAAAAAGAGAAACAATGCAGCACCCCTTTTGGACTTTGTGATGCGTGTCAACAGAGAGTCTGATGAACAGGAGGTATGGATAGGAGTAGCATTTCAGCGATTATCTTCCCATTTGATCACAAATGACACAATGACAATGACACTATTTTTCCCACTAACAACACACTGGACAATGGAGGTGGAAACTTTGGTAAGTACTCCATAATGGGATATTTTACCTCAATACAGGATGTCAACCGTTGAGACCTTTGTGATTTCTCACCAGGACCAAAAGAGCATTGAATGAGATCTCAAAGTGGGACAGATGGCGGAATCAGCTTCATTAATTAGGCCACCAACCTGTCCTTCATCCGTGGTCAGATAATTCACTACGATGTAACTTACCTACATTCATTTCATCGTGAAGAGCAGCGGGGTAAATTGTATTGCGAAGACTTCTAAGCAAAGTGATTTCGTCATAGGGGATGAGAAATTAATAAAAATCAAGGATTTCTCCGCAGAAACTATACTCGAGTGCCACCAATCATTCCAACTGCCATGAATGTCACATTCAGACGAAGAGTAATGAGAATTCGCTCCCAAATTTATGATGTCAATGCCCATGGTAAATGTGCAATGAAGCTTTCATGGCACATGGAGACACATGTAATATTCTTGTCCGATGCACCATCTTCCGCAGATGATTCCATCCTTCTTGCGTAATGAAATATCTCTGGTATCTCATCCCTTCCGCTTCGCAGCAAGATATTTCTTCAGGGGAGGGATTATCGAAGATTGAACACGCAGTTTTTTTTGCCAAGGCCGGGATTCCGATAGGTTTTGCAATTCTTATTAAAATAATTCACCGCTAACAAGGCGACAAATATGGACAGTGAGAGTCAAATGCGGGAAAAAAATTTTCTCTACATGGAAGTTCATGTTAAATTCAATCGTATTTCATGCAGAATTGTGAACTTGACGTTGAAAACACTGCCAAGCTTAAGCTCTTGGAGTGGAAAAGTTCCTCTCGCATACATTTTCAGAGCGGCAAATCATATGGGCAGTGAGCATGTGGAAAATTAATATTTTACACAACTATATACAAACGTGTGTATTTCGCCAGTGTGCTTGTCATGAAAAAAGAGAGATATTAAAATAAATAAGCAGTGTTTACATTGGCAACAAAAAGGAGAGACAAACTGAACACGTGCAAATGTTTCAGAGTTCTTTGTCTCGGCTTGTCGCACAATCTAACACTCATACGAGCGCAGAAGTGCATATAAAATTTTTAAATTAATTCTGACGTTTTCCCACTATTAGTTCTCACATTAAGACGCGCAATTAAATTATTAATAGACTGCGTCCCATGCAATATCCACCGAGGAAGATGCGTTATGAGGCACAATTTATGAAGCAATGAATTGTGAAGAGTGTGAAATATAGTAATTGGATATTAAATTGCAAAATTCATCCGGGGGTGTAGATATTTGACAATTGATTTCTTTATCTCACAAAAGCCGAGTAGGAATACGCAATCATTTCTGCATTGCTTGTACCTTTTAAGGCAAATATTTACGACTAATTGAAATTAGCCAATCAATTAATATTTGCCGTAAGAAAGTGTGTGAGGAAGAGGGGAAAATGCAGTGTAAGGAATGCCAGGATTGTGATTTATTGCCATTTACTGTGTCTTCTGAAGGACACGTGTTATTTCATCCAAGTCTTCGTGCACAGCAAGAGTCATCAGTGAGAAATTGTTTCTCTGTCATCGGAGGAATGAGTCGAAACAGCTAAATTCCATATTCCATCAACTTATTTATTAATTTCCTCATTTTTCCGTAAAATTTCATCGCAACATCTTACCTGTGATAAATTAATTTGCTGTGAATGGACAGAATGTCGCGTGAAACCGCCATTTACTTGCCGCCTCCGAAAGTTCATCGGCTCTGATTCCATTCGTCACCGACACTAATTAATGGCAATTGCAGCAGGAATAGAATAACTCAGCGAAATATGGTGTTCAGGGAATAAAAGAAAAGAAAAGAATATCTCTTGGATTTAACATTTATTTCATTTCTTTAAAAAAAAAGAGCCATTATAGTAATATATAAGCAATTTTCTGAATCAATTTATGATTTGTATTTTACTTTTCGTGTTTTTAAATGCAAAATATTTCTTAAATGTATATTTTGTTTTATATATGTCGCATTATGATTTCTTTTTTTCATCAATATAAAAAGTATATTTACACTTTGTCGATTTTTCAAATATAAACTATTCTCAATTTTTTTTTCTTCGTTATAAAAGTGTAATTATATAATTGAATGTCGAATTGGGTCGTATAAATTGTGTCATTTTTATCTTACTCTCTTTTTAATCAATTCATTGTTAATTTTTTCTACACTTGTCCAAAGTATTTTTTTATGAGAATTTTCTCGCAATGTTGGCGTTTCTCATTTTTAGTGTAACAGAAACATAGAAGAGTATTTAAACTAAACAAATAAAATCATTAATTAAGAATATATTAATTGATAAATGCTTAACATTTATAGATATATTTTGAATTATATTTATAAATATTAATTGAGTTTATCAACATTTTGTAGTTTTTCGTGTCTTTTCGATTACGTTTCATTTTGCATTCAAATGAAGTGTTGTGAAAAAGATGTCACATTATCTTACACTTTGCAAAAGTATTGTTGATCTTCAAAGTGTACATAATTAATTTTACATGTTCTCGCAATATTATTATAGGAACGACTTTGTTGATTTCTCAAAATTTCTTTTGATAAAAAATGCAATCTAATTCTATTGGTGGTTTCAAGTGGCAATATATGTACAATTGTTGTGCCAAACAATATTTTGGGCTCTGTAAGAAAATGTGATCTGCTGGAAAAATACAACAAAATGTCAATTTATTGTTATGTTTTATGGATGATGTCACTTGACAAAATGTTCAATGAAATTTGCACAATGAAATGAATGTGATGACGAGTGAATCTTGCCGATTGAAATTGGTCCACGCAATTTTGATTCGCTAAAACGTCCTTTTCTCACCGAAAGAGCAAAAAGAAAATTCAAATGCACGGCAAATAGGTTCTTTTCCTTCAATTTAACAGAAATGATTTCTGCGTTTATCGTGATATTGATTTATTACATACAAAATAAACAAATTAAAAATTGGTAAGAAAATGAGATCAATGAATCACAGACCCGCTCTGAAGGGCAATTAAGACTAGGTTTAACCTAATTAAACTTATGGCTTATTTTCGCATATCTACTTGGCTATTTATATTCCTCCTTTTTTCAAATTTTTTTTTGCAATTTTCTTTACTCTTTTATAGTTTTATGCTGAGATACGTTATCCTAAGTAGAAATGACATTTTCCTTAATTAACGACAATTATGTTTAATGTGTTTTCTGATCTTCACCTCATTACATCTTTACTTCGATTCAATTTATTCCTGGACAATTATTTAAGTGTTTATAAAGTATTCTTATGCAAATGTACTTTCTTTTCTAGTTAATGTAGAAAAATTACCCCCAATATTCAAAGAAGGGTTTGACTTTTTGTTCCTATAGTTGAAGTATTTGTCAAGAAGTTGAAGCGGGATTTTGTTGGAAATTTACCAAAATTTGTCATCTAAATTCTATAAAAATCCTTTTTGTTTGGAATCACAAGAGCGAAAATTTGTCAAATTTGCAAAATTTGTTTTGCTAAAAACTGGTCATTTTGTATATTTTGCTGTAAATTTCCAACAATTTGAATAGCAATAGACAAAGACATCCACAGAATAATATGTTTTTCCATTTTAGAAATAAATATATTACTATGTAGTGTAGAGATAATTTACTTTATGCAGAGATGGAAAATTCCGGAATTACATGGTTGTAATTTCTGGCAAATATTCTCGTCTCTTGGGACTATTTAACATTACACTTTCCACTATTAAATATTCATCTTTTGTCACATTTTCCTTAAATATTGTTATCTTGTACTTTCTCATCAGCCCTTTGATGTGCAATTGTTGACTTTACGTCGCATCGTGAGACACGACCAAATCAACATCTTTGTACGATTTATGAAAATCAACAGATCAAAATGCAAAATAAAAGTTTTTCTCTTCATTATCCGTAAGTATAACAACGATTTGTTGCATACAATGAAACCGTTTCGTTTCTTGGGTCTTTGTTAATCAAAGCATCAAAATTCTAAATTTTTCAAAAAGCACTTCCTATAACGGAATGGGTTCTATTGTGGTTAACCAAGTGGCTGGATGAGTTTTTTAACGCGATACTAAAACATAACTTAAGATGGCCCAGGAAATTGAAATAATGGTAAAAGTAAAAAATTTGGGTTATTAGTTCATATGAAAAATAATATATTAAATGCTGTATTAGAGTACATTTATATTATGCATAATGCTGGGAGAAATTATCTATGAATATTCCAAAAAAAAAAAAATGCAAAAATGTCCCTTATTAATACACAATTAGTACAAAATAAAACTGCGAAATTTAATTTCATTATATGGATCAAAACATTAACTAACTGTCTACGTGTATTATTTACAAGAAAGAGCGGTCCAATTGCTAGCCAATCTCCTATGATGACACGTGGAAGGGTTATAGCATTGTTTTTATAGCGTAATTTTTATTCAATCGGAAGAAATTGTCTTCCAGGTGACATCATGTTGGACCGTAAATACAAAAAGAGATCATTCGAAAACTCTGAAGAACTGTACAAACTATAATCATTGCTGACACTTTAGAATTTGAACGTTTCACTTCTATCAACCGTGAGTCAAAATGGTCAGATTGCAAGAGATCCGTCAGCAGTTCACTAGTACCAGTCAGGGTAATTCGAATTGATTATAGTTCATAAGCCGAAAAAATGTACATTTATTCTAAAATTGATAAGAGAATGATGCAGTAAGTATTACTTAATTTTACAAAGAATATACATTGCGATATCGATGATTTTTCTTCTTTCTCATGCAATTGACAGCCCAAAAAGGAAATATTCTCTTCAGTTAATTACATATTGAATTGCTTTTCACTTTACAGTGTACCTCTGAAATCTCCGTTGTTAGAGTTTTACTATTGATTGATTTTTAGTGCCATAGTGTAAAACTGACAAAAACTTTGCTGAGTTTCTGCAAGTTTTGTTGCACACGAGAAATAATTGAATGCTTCGTTGAAATTTGTATTGCTTGACCAAGAGATGTGATGGAATAATTTATATGATTGACTCCAAAATAATTGATCTTTTTTTTTTAGCACATATTCCAATCCTTCTCCTCGGTCTGCACTGAGGAGCATAATTTGTCTCGTCTCTTCAAAAATACATATGCTCGCCAGTGCCTCTAATCATCCGTTTTGTGATCACAATGCAGCTTATTTTATTTATTACTTCAATACCACTCTTCTAAGCCTACTATAAATTTACTTATATTCCTCAATTTATCCTTTTGTCATTTATATTTGCAATAAGATTGTTTAAGAATTGTTCTCCTTTCCATTTAAATTGCTATACAATCCACTTCACTAGAATGCAATATATAAAAAAGTATGTTTATATGAGATCAAAGTTGTTCAATTTTTGCTTCTTTTTAAATCCTTTTCCATCAATAACACAATCGTAATATGTATTGTATTCTTTGGGGCTCTCAAGTATCTATTTTTGGCCATTTGTATCGTCTCTGATTTATGTTTTCTTCCTCTACAAAACTGTATCGATTTTTCACAATATTTACTCGATTATACCTTTTGCCTTGACAGAAAAAATGCAGTTGAACTGTGTACAAATTCTATCACGCGTCGAACGCTATTTGAAAATGTTTCAATGGACATTGTGGATTTAATTTCCTGCAATAAGACAAGTCTCCAAAAATGGTTAGAACTACAATGTAAATTTGAGAGATCCACAACGTGACAGTATCATTTCAAGTAAATCAGTCGTTTTGTTCTCAATTATCGTTTTTTTCCTCACTCGGATTTTTCTTTTTCGCCTTTTTTTTCAATCACAATGCGCTTTAATGAGCTTTTTTCTGTTGCTACGTAGAAACAAAAAAATGAAGACAGAAATTGGTGAAATTAATGAGAATGATGCTCTTAAATTGATGCATGGCTTTTACAAGAAATATGATTATGAAAAAAAATACAAACACGATTTGTTCGCGGTATCCAGAAAATATGTTTTGTCTTTCAAGAATTAGCAGCAATTTAGCCTAATTTAATTATTTACTGTCTCTGTAGTAATTATATGGTTTGTCTTTTGGAAATAAATAAAACAAGGGGGATAAAACATAAACGGACGCCTCAGTAAAAAATCATCCTGAAATATGTCAAAATGTAAATTTTCGTGTGTGTTTTCTTTCTATTTGGATGAATTGAACTGTACTGTATGTTTTTTATGCAAAATTTTCACGTCGTTTCAACAACGCTTCTTTTAAATCACAATCGCTTTGGGTTACAATTAATCACTTAAAAGCTACATTCACATTTTTGTCCTACTCACTACCATATGAAAAAGTTGTTATCTCCACACATTTTCACCTTTATCGTCATTTATTTATAAAACAACATTGATTTTCTTATATATTTAATTACACGATAGAGTATAAAATAGTATCGTTGAGGATTCGTCAATCGAACCTCAGGCAAATTTATCCACTAATACTCAAATATTGTTTACCTCATAATTTTCTTCCTCCTTGCAATGAAATATTTTGCTTACAAAATATATTTTCCTTCCATTTTTACGAAATATTTATAAAAAAAAATTATTACAATATTTTTTTTTAATGAATGGATGTAGTCAAGTATGCATAATGTATGCCATTTAGTCGTCGTGAAAATTTTATTCGCCAAATTTTCCAATCTTTACCTCTCTCCAAACGGTCCTTCTGGTTAATGGCAGTGTTGAAAATAATATCAGCGAATGAATAAACTCAAAATCGGTATCCGTTGAATTTTGTCGTGTTGTTGTCTTTTTGTGTGCTTTGATCGGTTTTTGTGCACGGAATTCATACGCCGAATATTCACCGCGAGGCGAATATTCCGCATCCGACCACGATAAAGAGGGCAGTTACCAAGGACCAATTGAAGCACTGCTCCTGAAAAGAAACCGATGATTTTTGAGTGTTTTCCAGGACGGCTAGTTGTGTGTGTGTGGATTAAAGTATTTCCGAGGTTAAGGCTAAAGGCAGAAGCAATTCTGACGCGAAGACCGACCATAAAAATGAGATATGTAAGTGGTGGAGACGAAAAACTATCTGTGGAACAAGTGTATTATCACAGGGTCACTTTTATGGGCCATTATCGGTGTCAAGAGTGAGAGATGAGCAAGGGCAGAGGCCGTCCCCTCAGATATTTCTAACGAAAGGGCGCCAACCGTGTGCCGAGGTCTAAATACATAAATAATAAGGGATGCAGAAAATAGACTGGGAATTATGATGAATTGCTATCCGATGCAATTATTACGAAATTTGTCTCTGCGAAACACTCTCTCGAGCCTCAGGAGTGAAACTCTCGGGGTTGAAGTGCATTTTTGGATGAGAGAAAATGTGTTAAATGGAAAATCAAAACGAACACACAACAGTTAACACACTCCATTGTTGACTCAATCGCGCCTCAACCCAAACACACCGACGGTGGTTGGAAAAGCCATTCTTGGGGTGATTTTTTTCTGTCTGCCCTCCACGAAGCATTGTCCCCAGATCCCAGAAAAACATGTGTAATTCGGTATTTGTTTACGGAAAAATTATTATGCGTTCGCGCGCTGCGTCTTTGATAAATTCAAAATATTTATGCAACACATTCACACGTGTGCGAGACTCATATTTATGAAAATATTTAGACAGCGACAAGTTCACGCACTCGGACGGGAGGAACAGTGTTTCTGGGGGATAAAATTGAAATCTACCTTTGGCTTGTCTTTTGGCGTCTCTGGCCCTGCTGCGGGAGATGATGGCAATGCCTTGCCTCTCTTGCGCTCTGGAACGCGACCAGGAAACTCTGTGAGTCGCTCGCGAGCCTCCAAGTGGTGAAAATGGTCTTGGAACTCATTCAGGCTACTGTCATGGTCGCTCGGGCAGTCATCCTCATCTTCGCCAGTGGACGTTAATCGAATTCTGAGAAGTGGAGAATTGTTGTGGAATATTGCATAGGAGCTTCTAATAATGAGATTTTCAATGACTAATGCAACTTTACCAGAAGGCGAACAATTGTTCTACTAATCTGATCAAGATCTCAATTTAGCGTGGGAAAGTGCGAGATCATTAGGAAGAAGGAAATATTGATAACTGATAAAGTCGCAAACTTCCGATTTTGAGATAAGAATGTAAAATTGTAAAAGTATACAATTACTAGGAAATTTTTCTTATACAAGTCAAGTAATCAGATAACATTTACCATGTTTTTTTTTCGTAAAAATAAATTTGCGTGAGTTCTAAATAAAAATTATACTTGAATCATCATTAATTAGGAGATGTGCGTGGAAAATTTAATTATTATGAAGCTGTATTTCATCTTAATGACTTCTTTCGTACTGCAAATGCTGCGCAAAACCGATCAGTTCGTCTTGTGATTGATGTTATTACGGAGAACAATTAAGTTGGACATTTCCTTACCGTCTAATTGGCAATCGGTGCTGATCGATGGGGTGCGATGGGACACGGTGCACTTCCTCGAGGGGCTGATGGGTGTAAGTTCTGGGCGTTCTCGGTGTCGATATTGATCTCGGGAAGAAAATCTCACCGTAGTGGCCGGAGGAGCTCTGGGCCATTGCATGTGGACTGCAGGAGGGGCTCGGCGGTGGCAGCGGAAATGCCGGAGTTCCTGAGCGTGGAGACAAAGCGAGGTGTAAAAAAGTGTCAGTGGCAGTAGTGAAAAATGTCCCCGAATTAGTTATTCATGGAAATTCTTATTGGCACGAAAACTGACCTATGAGTGTGGAAAGGAGTTGTGCAGACGCGATAAAATATATCTCGTGATATGACATGTTTGCGTGCTTTTCCCATTGTGGACATTTTTTCTCATTCGCCCTCCAAAGTGTAATTAATTTCGTTAATGACTCAGTTTGTCTCCAGTGTGAGTGATAAAATTTGTCTTTGTGCACTCCTTTAGCCATCCTCGCTCAAATATAATTTTATTACTCACCCAGAGTGTGATGAAAAAACACTTTCTTCTTGATCATTTAATAAAATTAAATGTGAGACGCTCCTTGATTTTAATGAAATTCCCTCTTCCTGTGAAGACTGGTCTGTTTTTTGCAAGCCAATGCGAGATGGACAGTATGTCACTCGCCTAATAGACTACTTCATATGCAAATAATTGTGTGGCTAGAGCACATTTAAATAATTGACTTGCACCATCAATTACACCGCATTTTGCCTCAGTCTCGCTGGGAGCTTGTATGTCCGTTGGGGAAATGGTCAAATACGCAATTTGAAAATCATGTTGAAACAATTTTCTTTTGCAATTTTCGCCGATTAAATATTTAATGGGCCTTTTATGCACACTGCATTAGCCACTGTATATCTTTGCTTGTGCACTCCGCAGAGTTAGTGCATTGGCAATTGCATTCGAGTGCAATTCCATGATTGCACTTTGGTTTGCATTTCGCAGTTGAATTTCGACGGAATTGCTCAATTGTGAGGAACGAAAAATCAGATCAAGTGCAGCGTGAACGCACTTTTTGTTTACTCATTTCTTCCACTTCGTGGAAAGTCCTGAACAGCCACAGTGAAATAGATGGTCAATTGATAAAATCATTGTCGCAGAAACATGAATAATTGATTTTGCTAAAAAGAGAGGCACGCAAGGTGTAATTATGCATAATTATTGTCATTTTTGCATTAGATAATTTGACAAAGGGTGGGATGTGTAGTGTTTTAGTGCGATAACAGTTGCTGCATAGTAATTACATTTAGCAGGAATTGGAGTGTCGTTGTCGCGATTAGTAATTGAGATGAGAGATATGAAAAAAAAACTCTACAAAAGACAGCGTACAATAAGAATGACATAATTGACTAAAAACGATGTTTTTTGAATCCACATCTTTGAAAAACTCACATGAAAGTATTTCTGCGAATCAATTAATTCTATCTTGATAATATGAGCCACTTATGGCATGAATTATATGGCAATGTATTTATTTATACAAGAGTGCATTAGTGAAATTCTCGAGAATAATAGCATATTTTTAGTGAATTTTATAGGTGGTTTGAAGAGTGTGAAAAAATTACAGACCGCAATTACTTTATAGAGTTAATTCACATTTTCCCATCTTATGCACGCCGTAAGAATAGTTCTCAAGTCTGTAAATTGATTTGATGATATTTCATAAAGTACAATGCGAGTGTGTCTCTCGAATGGGGCAGAAAGAAGCAAAATAGCATGACGGAGTGTTCTTGTATATTTTAATCTCTCAACTTGAGGCACGACTATTCAATTTTCCTTCCATCCACCATCTAGCCAAGTAAATTTAATAAAGCACATTTATTCTCGCAAGTATCCACATTAATATAGCATTGTCATTGCCAATCGACTAATTAATGTTAATTTATTCACGTGCTGTGCAAGAGAAAAAAAAGAAGTTTCGCGCGCCCAAGATGTGTTTGTGGATTGCAATTTGCATCTCTCGGGTGGATTTATAATTTATTTTAGTGACTCTCTTCTATGATAGCCCCCTATCAAGATGAACACAAATGGGAGTCCATAAAGATTGTGGTCGGGGAGTTTTCCATAGTGTCACTTAAATGAAGAGGTTCTTTCATGCGATCTAGAGTAATTACCGACTTGAAGGTCTTGCCGGAGGCTAGAGTGTGCCTCAGACAGTCTCAATCGAAAGGGATTACGCCTAATCCTAAACCCGGAAGATCGCCACTCGATGGAGCGTTGAGGCATAAACCCATATTGACCATCGACGCCTTGGCGGGACCTTGAAAGTGCTTCGCATTTGATGCAATGGCGGTTGCTCAATTTTAATTTTCAGTGCAAATATAATGCATATAAATCAAGCCCGGTAATTGAGCCAACTCGCGACTCTCCGTACAATGTTGAGCCCATCCAGTGGAGCGTTTAGCGCGCGCAATAAAACCACTTTGTTCGTCACTCCGTGGCACATTGCTGGTCGAGCTCTGGACGTTTATCAACACGGCACATGTGTGTCTTCCACTCTTCTCCAGCACCACGAGCCGCGGGTTGCACAATCCCAACAACCACCGGCCGCCATTCCCCCCATTCGGGCCTCCCATTTGATTATTTTCTAATTATAATACAAATCTATGTGCATGAATTTAGTCGTGTGTCTAATGGTGTTTCTGGGGAAATAAATCTTCAATTGCAATTAAAGTCAATTAAGGTAAACTGAACAGTATTCTGATTCTCAAGGATTCACAAATGTCTGCCTTTTTTGCATGTGATTTTCCAGCCTGACTTCTGCATGCAACGCCGAGCATTTGCCTATCAGTTCGCAGAATGCAGGTGGGTTTCTTGTAAGAATGGAAGTGCGTTGTAATGTTTAGATTGGAGTTAGTCATAGGATTAAGAGTCTTCATGCAGGCTCTATATATTGCACACAAAGAATTACACTCATATAAGTTCTATGGTATTGGAGAAAAGCTAAGATTTTGTCTGAAAATTACATTCTTGTACTTCAAAATAAACCGAGAAATTTTGCGTTTTAGTTCATATGATCACGCCTCTCACTTTACCCCCGGCTTATCTGTTTTCTTTTCCAAATACAAAATATTATTACCATAAGTGGTTTTGCTGAATCAGACAAACTGGAAGCCACTAAGTATTCTTGTCTTATCGCCACTGACACTGAGCTACTGATATCAAATCTATTACGCTTCACAATACATTTTTCGATTAACCAACTTCGAGAAATGATAATTGCTCTTCTTGTCCCAATCGTGAAAGACCTAATCTGTGTTTGTCAGTGATGATCAAGTCCATCACTTAAAGACAAAACACAAGTACGAGCGCGATTAAGAGCAAAAGTGCTCTGCTGATGAGTCAGGAGAGTTTTCTGTTGATAATTCCCGTCCGACAATCAGTCTGCAATTACTCATTTTGATACTACATTGAATTCACGGCCGCGGATAATTAATAGACATTGCGGTGAATATTCTGTATACAGTTTACTCACGTGTTCAGTCATACGGTGGTGAACAAAGAGGAACGCCGGCGGCATTTGAAATTTCGAACAGGTTGACAGATACTCTTCCAATTCATTCTCTAATTTGTTGTATAAATAGCAGTGGATGTTATGTGCATCTATTTGCTCGCTGGGCATTGCAGAAAACAAGTCATTTCACTGTCTTTGTCTCATGTTTTTGTATACATAGTTTGAGTAGAGGCGGAAAAAAGCGCGACAAAATACAGGTGGTAAGTGGCATGTATCTCTCTACCTCTCTGCAATTCTATCATTTCTCCTCTCTGCAGCACTACTAATTCCATTGTTGGGAGGAAATGTGATTTTTGAGAAGACATAATAGCACATTGATGCAAGAAAGTTGATTGCAATTATTCGGTTCTCCTCTCCGCGCGTAAAACCATTTATTGGCTAGGGTAAAACGCAACTGCAGGCCAGCATCGGAGAGTTGGATTGTATAGGACTTTGGAATACTCTAATATGTAATTACACATCAAATGGTTCATTATGTCAAGAAAGCTGGCAATGTTTTGTCATCGTTATGCAACTTTTTCACGCCATACACTTGCCTCTTGAGCTCTGTGGTCAATCCAATCAAACAGGAGTAATTCTGATGTTCAGATACCACAAGAGTGTTTATAAATAAAGCGATTAGCTGTGGCAATGCGATAAAATTGACAGTATATCTCATAGCTCAATTGTATGATAAATCTGCAAGAAAAGTGGTAATTGACTATGCAAAAAGACGCACTCTCGAACACGTACAATTGGCCGTATTTTTAGGTTATTCGGAAATTTATGGTTTGGCGCGCGCGGGAAATTCTGCGCACACTTCCAACACTCGCCAGAGAACTTGTTGCAAAATGCTGGAAAATGCAATTTTTCACCACACACAGCATTTAGTAATTCCTACACATTCGAGGGTGAACAAAGAACTGAGAGTGTCGCCGTGCGAAAATCATCCGCAACGTTCTACATAATGCGACAAAATGTTATTCAAAATTTATGCAGAGTGTGACAAGTCTATTTTGGGTTCGTAATCTGCAAAGTCACACTGTATCTCACTGCAGCCCATCACGGGCCTTCCCACTTGGAAAGACTCTGCACATGTGCCACAATCAAGCTAAGGAGTACTCACAGTGTTGGTGGCAATTTGGCATTTTGTTATTTATGAGGTGTCTCATAAAGTTTGATTAAGTTCTACAAACTACAACCATACATTTCTCCCATTTTTCGTCGAAAATCTTAACACCGCGTCGCCAAACCGCCTCGGCTGCGGCCACTGACCCCCAACCGAGATTTCACAATATCGCATCACCTTTTTGTCGAAGATGCCAATATTTGCATAAAATCTTCTTTTTCGCCGAATGGAATTTCCGTTTGATTAGCACTGGAGACTTTGGCGGGAAAATCACAAACTCAGTCACATCACTTATTTTTACAATTAGATTTTGCTTTTATTCATCCAATTAGCTTACAGATCTAGATGGAGGGACTCAACTGCACCGCCTGACAGTCTCGAGGACTATGAGAAAGGATAAAAATTTCCACAAACCTCCTCCAATGCGATACAAGGCCTCGCAGAACGCCTGCACCAGGTGCTCATTGTTGACCATAAGGGGGCTCTGCAGTGGGGACTGGGTGGCCGAGGACGAACCACTGGGCGGCTGGGATGAGCCCTGCTGCTCCTGGTCGTCTTCGGGAACATAGAACGGTCGTGCCATGTCACTGAGTGTCAGTATGTTCAGCTGTACTGAGGTCACACTAATTTAGAAGTGTTTTGCAAACTCTGCGTGATTCTGTGTCAATTTTGTGGGTGTCAACAAAAATTTACTATAGTTATCACAATGGTCAAATTGCCATTATCGAGTCTTTCAGCTGCCAGTGTCTCTCACACTTTGTCATTTCACTTCTAGTCTGGATTGCAGATAATCACTTTAGCCATTACTTAGCGAAATCACAAAGTGACTTTAGAAGTATCTGGGAAATTCTGATTTGCTTCTCAATTCGGAGTCCACACCAAATCAGCTTTCACAATTTATGGCACGAAAATTCGGGCAAAAATTTACAAAGAAAATCTCTCAATAAACTGTTTTTCAGTCACTCTTGGAGGCTTTTCACTGAATCTAGGATTTTTCTTTTTGCTTTGCGAAAATTGTCCAAAAAGTTTTTCAATTCGTCGGAAGTATATCAACAAGTACAATGCGGAAAGTGCTCTAAACGTACGATAAATGCAACTCTTTCCGGTACTCCGGAACACGTCCAACTCGCTCGACGTCTGGCAGCAAACTGATTCACTGTCGTTCCGCGCTGCACTGACGATGTGTTTCGATCGGACTCACAAGCGTGCGGCGAAGACAATTTCTGTGACTGCGCTCTTCGGCTTATCCAGCACGACTGGCGGCAAATGCATTTCCACTTCACGTATACTCCGCACGACTGCAATTGTTGCTCTGACTCTGGGCACATACATGCAGCATGTCGCGCGCCACGTGCCTGTATGGGTGCGCATGTCTCTGGCGCTGGCATGCAAGCGCCGATCGTATCCCCTCCACAGCGAAGCACCCCTTGTCAGTGGCTGACTGGCTGCGGGATTTCGGGAGAGGGTAGGGAATTAGGTCCTCGATGGTTGGTGGGGTACGAAAAATAGGCAGGGTAAACCTACAAACGCCTCAATCACCGTCAATGTGGTTCTTTCTTGCCCTCAAATGGGATTCAATTAGATGTGCGGAGATATAGAGAAAACTCTTCCCGCCAACACGGGCTTAACCCTAAACCCAATTCCCATTTGCATCAAATATCAACACATATACCCGCGCTTTTTTACTGCCTCTGGAGCACGCTGTCAATTGAGTGGAGTAAATAGGCGTTAAAAATATTAAGGGTAATAACCTTATGTGATTTAACAGTTTAAGTCTCGCCGTATTTGTGCATACACACAACGCCACAACCACACGTAATGATAGCAATAACATGAGATTTTATATCCAACGTGTCTGATATGAGTATTTTCATAAAAAATTTTTTGGCTTCACCATCTTGGTAAAATAAACAATTGTGGATTCGACAATGCCTTTTTTCGATTCTATTTATTTTACTTTTTCACTTGTGTACAATCATTAAAGTCGGTGTGTGGAATACTAGTGGATGAAGTGTGGCTGAAGGTATAGCATAAACGAGTGCGCACTTTTCAGAGTGGGCTGCTCTGGCGGATTTCTGCGTGCAAATTGGCCGCAGTGTTTATCGGGAAAATGCACAAATAACCGTGGCAAGACACAACAATAAGGCTGGATGCAAATTTTCCTGGGTGAGCACTCATTAGGCGTCCCTCCGCCACATTTATGATTCACATCGAGGCACTGGGAAACACCTCCCAACAATTTATGCATCATTTGCTCAGCTGGATTAATAGTTTTAAAATTTAAATTGCCAGCAGAGCTCTGCATATTGATAGGTGCCCAGGAAATTGGACCATTAAATTATTTGAAATCATTAGAAAAGGGTGTTGCTTGCAAGGAAATTGCGAAAATTGAGAGAATATGCAGAAAACTATGTTAAGACATTTTTCTAATATTAAATCACGTCTATTAAGAGGTAATATGATTGTTTTTCAATGTATTGCAGCGCTCTTTTATGCTCTGTATTAGCAATGATTCTATTCAAACGATTCTCCTTTATTTGCTGGCTTCGCTGGTAATCTATTTACCGGTGATCAACGTTGGTCAGTTTTACAGCCAGAATATTCTGACTCATCAGCATGTCGCGTGATCATTAAAAAAATATCAACAAGCAGTCGAAGAAAAAGACAGATTGAAGAAGTAGGTCAACGAATTGTGACTAATCAATGTGTGAGATATCAAATCTGGAGGAGAATTTCATCACCTTTCTTTCGCTACGACTAAAAAAACTCTTGAAACGCAATTGTCATGACCACAAGTGGTCTGACCATCTGTTGCTTATCAGAAAAGAAGAATGTTGAGATTAGCCACAAGGTGGCCTTATTTAAAACTCTATCTAAACATTATCATCTGCGATAGACTAGAACAAATAATTCTTGGCGGGAAAGTTGTGCAAGTCCGAGGAATTAATTTGAATATAATTCCACTTGGGGAGACTGAATAAATTCAATTTATAAGAAAACATGCTCCTTAGAGTAAATAAACAATGATCGTCACAGTGTGTCAGATAATTCTCGTAAATCTTGATTTACAGCCGCACTGTGCACAGCACTTTTCCTCCGTCTAGAAATTCGCTGTGTATGATAATGAAATGAGGCGTGATGAGGTCAAGTTGAATAGCAATGCGATGTGCACTCGGAGAAATTCAAGTGCCAATTTTCACTTTCATTTCCGCCAAAGAGGAAAGAGTGGCCATCCAGAGGTGCTGCTCTAGAGCTACCCAGAAGCGACTTTGGGGTCATCCGACGCTGTGGCTCGAGTCTCTTTTCTGCTAACAATAAGGCTGCCTACAATCGAGATTAAAATCTCTGGTGCTCACCGCAAGAATCGTGTTTCGATGCAAATGAGATTGCTGTAAGAAGTTACGAGGTGGAGTTTTTTCGCAAGTTGGACTCTCGTTATCAGAAGCACACAATTGCGCAGTAAATTATAATTAAATATATGATATTGTTTATTTACATAATTTCCAAGTGATTTTTTTACCCGTCGCGCTTCTCTACAAAAATAATTTTGCCTTTTTTCCTGCTGGACGTAATGAAATAGTAATTGGCTCAAGGAACTGATAAGGAACTCACAGTGAGTCTTTGTTTCTAAATTAGATTTAATTATTGGTCATTATAGACTGTGGGGAGCATGAAAAGTCGATTTTACCCCTTCAGCGATAAGTGGTAAGTAGAGTTTAGTCGTCAGAGGATTCTCCTTTCACTGTAAATATCGCTCTGTTTGCACAAAAAACAGATCGCGGCTCTAAAGACGTCGAAACTTGATAAGGTGACGGCAGAAGGTTTACCAGTTGGAAAATAGAAACACTGAATAGGATCTTTTTTACTATGAAAATACTACACTTTAAGTTAAAATTCTCCCCAAATAATGCGCTTCTCTGTTATGCAATTTTGTCCCAACTTCGTGACTGTCTCCCTTGACGATATGCCATCAACCCCATGTTCTGTATCGCGGTGCCCCCTTGATCGGCCCCTCGAGTGACACTGAAATCTATAATATTATATAATTGGAGGCACAACACGTTCAAACACGTCTTGGACGTGAAATGACTTGTTGACTTGGAGTTGGAGTGTGTTTCTTCATCTCCTCATTTCTTATCTTCTCTCTTCTGTGCCTCAGATTGCACTTGGGATGCGAGTTGGTGTAAAAAACAGAAGAAGATTGTGCCTCTGACCATTGCATGCAACCATGCTGCGAGGCAAAAGTGCCTCGGTCTCGGGAGCTGAGATTTGCACTTGGCCCTCGTGCATGGTTCATTTCTTCCCTGGGAAAACTGAACAGGGCGTTGCCGAAGACGGGCCAGAAGGGGGAGCAAAGTGACCTGCCAGATACAGAGTCAATTGTTGAGGCCTGTCCTCGATTTCCCAACCACATGAATACTCTGCATCTCTTTGGTTTTTTTTTGGCGCGCGGGTTTTTGGGTGCGAAACGCTGTCTTCACATGATTTATCGCATTTAAAGTTCCAGCAGAACGTCTCAGTTTTGTGCCCTTCGCCGCCAGCGGATTGAAGAACTCGCCAACTTCCCGAAGCGGTTGGGTGTGCCCCTTATCAATTATACTCGCCATCCTAGAACAAAGTGTCATTTGGACGAGATAGAAATATTAATGAGTTTTTTGCGCAATCAGAGAAACAGAGTCGCGGGGAATTGTGAAATGAGCGAGCTCGGGGGCTCGCCTCGCGGAAACTTGACCGTCAGTGAATTCACACATAATTATGTTGAACATATGAAGCGTGGTTGTACCTGGTGGTTGCTCGCTGTGTTGGTATTTACACCGTTGCATTCGGCAAATGAGTCATCGTTGGACCGTCGGGATATGCTTTCTACGCCACGGAACATGTGGATTTAGAGCCGATGAGAGTGTGAGTCGAGGTGAGTCATATTAGGTATATGAAATGAAAAGATCGGGGCAAAACAAGGGGTTTCTCACTGTTGAAGAATTGGTGCATGGCGAACAGGGGAGTTGGGAGAAGTCTTGAAGAATTTCTCAGAAGAGTGGAGATAATGGCAATTATCTACACACTTCACCCACTTTCGAGCAGTTCCGTAACGTATTTCTTATGCGTGAAATATGCGGCAGTGGAAAGACGGGTCAAGGGTGTCCTTCAAAGGACCGACTTGAGGGGTCTAGAAATCCCATGTTTCACGACTATATAATACTTGACTATAAAAGAATATTTATAAACATGCACTTTGAGTATCGCAGCAAGTGAGTTTGCCAATGATGTTGGGTATAAAGAAGTTCATTAAACCCCAAGTCAAATGACGCTCCTTCTGCCAGCTTCCAGAAAATAATCCTCCTGATTGCAATCTACTCTAATTCCCTGACCCAGTTCCGCGCTGAATTGGGGAGGAAAAATCCCTGGTTGAGTGACTTCTTGAGAGTGATTCTGGCAACTTTGCCAAGCCCTCGAAGAGTGGCTACATAAAAAACGCGTGGCAAGAAATGCTCCATTTGATGAGAACCATTCTTCGCTCAGGTGAAACAATTCATACTATCGAGTTAATTACCCGTAAAATTCCGCCTCTCGTTCCCTGAGGGTATTTACTGATTTTTTGCTACTCCTTGGAATTGAAGGGCAACCCAATGGGAGACACAAATTAAGTGTAATATCAATAAATTACATAGTCTCGTCTCAGTCTTCACAAACAGTGCATTTCTGAAACTCCACAACCATAGATCTTGGTGAGATTGATACTTCTTTGTGGCGCTTCTGTGGTCGCAAGAGGTGTAAAATGAACTCTCTGGAACCCAACAATAAACAGCCTATGCAGAAATGGTGACATTTTTACTGTCCATGATAGATTTTAATCAATTAAACCTCCACTGGTGTATAATGTGTGAGTTGAAATTAATAGACGATCTTCAGGCAAAATCATGACTGTCAATTAATTTTAAAGTGCCTCTCGGGTGTATTCTAGCGCTGAGATATTTTCCAAGAAGTGGTAATGGACTGTTTAGAATACTCTTATTTCTGTCTTTTCCTCCACTCCGTGGCAAATTGATATCACTTCAAGGTCTCCAGTTCATTTTCTGAGCGACAAAAAGACTGCAAATTTCGCAATCGTAAAATTGGAGCGTCTCTTGTACGCTCACTATCTCAAATTGCGATTTTATTCTGGCGCAAAAAATGTCGCTCGCTGCTGCAAATATTTCAATTGAATGTGAACTAATTTGAGTGGGTATTATTGCTCGATCTCGATCATAAC